GCACCCTAGGCACTTCCGACAAGAATATGAGTGCAAAGAGCTGAAGGTGGCACGTAGGGGTAGACCTTTTCCTTTGTTTTCTCACAGCAGCAACCCTTTGTCGCAGTGGTGGGATTCAATTTTTTTTACTACCGGTTCTGTGGGCGTGGCTTGGTGGGCGTGGCAGGGGATACTGTAAAATCTCCAGTTAGAAGTGGTATTTGCCAGTTCTCTGAACTACTCAAATTTCCACTACTGGTTCTTCAGAACTGGTCAGAACCTGCTGAATACCACCTCTGCTTTGTGGTAAGAGAGATTGACCGGCTCAAACACATTCTGTGAGCTTCTGGAGCTGAGGATGGTTTACCAATACTAGTTAATCACCAAACTAACTCTTATTATTTTACCAGCTTTCCCCTGAAGTCAACATTTCAACATCTACTGTGGTAAGTTGAGGGACCCTCCAGAGCCAATGGTGAGAATGCATAGGAACTGTAAGAAAGGAAGGAATTACTCCCCTTCATTCCATAAACAGAAACCAATTCACAGAAATAAATGACTCATGTCATAGAAGTTATAAAATAATATATGGCTTCTCCAAATTTTGCATGGGATTCCTGAGCTAACAAACCTTAGCAATATTGATCTATATACAAACTTCTTGGGGATAAGCAGATATGGCCTTTTAGAGGCTTTTGTATTCTTTATTCCTTGAATTATGAGAGACCAAGACCTAGCACCCCTCCCAATGAGGGAGGTACCAATGGGGGAAGAGTACCTACCAAACAATTGAAGCAGAATCTCCCAATAGAATATCATGCAAACCAATAGTAAAAACTATTGGTCTTTTGGGGAATGTCTGGCCCTACGCTGGTCTTTCTTTGCTAGAAATATTTTTGGTTTCCTGGTCCTAGTCCCTCAGAGAAGAGCTTTTATGTAGGATAATCCACAGCTGCTTTGAGAATTTATTGGATGATCCAAATAAATCACACACTAATTTCTGAGCTTTCTCTGCTTGCTATAAAACTTCTATATTTTTTTAATTTAACAAACTGAAAAACATGAAGTTGGACATGAAGACTTATTTTGCCCATACAATTATCAATCAAACTTTATCATATACTACAGGAAAATTACATATGCCAGAATAAATCTACTTACATGATTTTTCTGATCTCTCCAGATCAATCTGTGTGTACTAAGGAGCAATACTCCACTTTCAAACTTCACCTAGAGAAAAAAAATGAGTAGATTTTAAGGTATTCAGAACCTTTGCTTCCTTCAATATGCTATTTTTTGTAGAATCATACACGTGTTAGGAAAATATTTTGTGTTTGGTTAATAATTTTTTCAAAATTAGACTGCAGAAAGGGAGAAGAAATTAATTCCTTCTAATGTAATTATGTGCATCCATTTCCATAGGAAAAACAATGAAACGCAAGGGGATGAATTGAAAAAAAAAGTCAAAACAAAATGTCATGCAAGAATTCAAGATGTAAAGAGCTACCAACAAATGATGGCTGAGCCTTTGTGTTTTGTAGCAGTCTTATGCAAGAGAAATATTTGCTTGTCACCCAACCTAAGTCATTTTAATTAACATTGTATGTTTTCCTCAAGGTATTTTCTTAACTAGCTCTATCTACCTATTTAAGGTACTCCCTTAGTTAAAAATATAAGAGTTCACACATTACAATAGCCTGTTTTATGATTTATTTTATTTTTGTTAGCATGAACTCAATCATTCTGCCTTATTAATGTATCATATATGATCCCAATTGTAAACTTCTTTAACTGAATGGCCCAGTAGGATCATTCAAACCACTGTTCAACTTGCCTTCCTTCCAGGAACTTGAAAAAGACTTGAAAAATTTAGTGGCTAGAATGAAAATCTATGGCACCTGTATTCCAATGAAACTTCATGAACTAAGCCAAGCATTGCTACAATGAAAACTTAATCTGAGAATACATGAATCTCTTCTAAGGATGCCTAACACCAAGGCACTGTAGATATGTACAGAAAAAAAGTCTAAAACTCAGAGCAATACCTGCAAGAAACAATAAATGTTTAACTTCCTTTTTAAGACATGGTCACCCTTGATAGTAAGGGAAAAAATTAAGCAACACATTTGAAGATACTACTATTGGATTGATTCACATATTGTGCTAAGCAATGTTGTTTAATTATGATTTATTAATAAACCACAAGTTTATGTTTACAGACCACCATTTGCAAGTGTAGTAGTTGGGTTCACAGAAGTCAAAGTGAAGGAGGGAATATTTCTTTTAAACAGAGAATGCTTTAATATCATGTATCGTCCAAGAACAGTTATATGTCTCTTGTTTCAAAACTATTAATTCTACCCATGAAAAATTGGTAGGTAAGCAGAGTATTAAAAGTTTCTCAACCTAGCATTTTATCTTTAAGGGTTTGGATTTCCCCCCTTTTTACTGGTAAACTGTAAAGAAATCTATGGAAAACACGGGAGAAATTACAAACAATTACAGACTCCACTACAGATTACAGGCAGTAGTCTTAATTAGGCTGCAGAAAGAACAACTGCAACCAGTCTGCCTTCCAGGAGGACCTTTATGTTGGGTGGGTCAGAAGAGGGCCGAGAAGGTACCCACAGACCCTTCACAACTAGGACAAATCCTCCCTTCAGGAGGCACTACAGGGCACTGCATGCCCAAACAACTAGACAAAGTGATAGTTTCTTCTTTTGTGCTTTCACTTTGATGAATTCCTAATTCTCAGTGTTGTCTAATGTCTATTTTTATTCATGTAGTGTGGCTGCAATATTATTTATCCTTCATCTTTACTACTCATAGGTAGTAAATACCTATATACTTATAGGTATTATGATTTATGATTCTGTTGCTTTGTGTTGTACACTCTGAGCTTCTGCACCAGGGACAAACTCCTTGTATGTCTAATTGCACCTGGCCAAATAAAGTTCAATTCAAAAAGGAAAGACTCTAGCAATTGCCCTGGAACAAAGATTTTGGGGACATTTGCATTCCCGTATTTTAACACTGTAATTTTATTATATTTATATATTTGTATTTGTAAACTGCTTTAGATGTTTATGCCTACAAGATGGACTATAATACTGAAGAAACAGCTTCACATATGACCGAAGAGGCAACACAGCAGCGCACAGAGATGCACAAAATTCCTAACAGAGTAGGCACTATACGGCTTTCCTTAGAGATAGCATAAATATATATAAAAATATGGGACTACTAACATTGGTGCAAAAGGGCGTGGAGAAATTGACTTCAATATAATTGCCACTTTTGAGTAACGAATAAAGAAGGCAAAAGCTAATGAAACAAAAGGAAAAGGACATTCGAGGAACCGGATCTACCATACGCCTGATTCGCTGGGGCCTGAAATCCGGGATGGAAGTGGATTCCTGTTTAGGCGACTCCCCGTCTCTCAAGTAGCGCCCCCGCGGCTTTCTCCGGTCGAAGAACGACCTGGTGGGCTCCTCCATCCCCGTTCCCCTCTTTGCCAGCTGCCTTTAGGAGAGGCCGAGGCCCCTCCGCCCTCCCCCGCCGGCTTCCCTCCCTCCTGGCGCAGCTTCCATCAGCCGCCCTGACCTTTTCCTCCCCATCGTACAGGCGGACCCCGCGCTGCTGCGTGACGAGGTTCTCGTGGATCTCCAAGAGGCCAGTAGCCCAGGCGAAGCGATCCATGGAACCTCCGCCGCGCACGAACGCGCTTCCCTTTCCCGGCAATACAGACGGCTCGCTCCGCCCATGGCGCCTCCCCTTTGGACGTGAGTTCTCGTGGTGACGAGAATGACGCCAGATGTCATCACCGGAGGCAGACCTTATAGGCGTCATTTAACAGAACAGAATAACAGAGTTGGAAAAGGGACCTTGGAGGTCTTCTAGTCCAGCCCTCTGCTCTGACAGGAAACCCTGCACCATTTCAGACAAATAGTTGTCCAATCTCTTCTTAAAAGCCTCCAGTGTTGGAGCATTCATAACTTCTGGAGGTAAGTTGTTCCGCTGATTAATTGTTCTGACTCTCAGGAAATGTCTCCTTAGTGCTTGGTTGCTTCTCTCCTTGATTAGTTTCCATCCATTCCTTCCAGCCCTTAGGTGCTTTGGAGAATAGCTTGATTTCCCTTTTTTAAGCACTGCGCCACCCATTGCTCACCCGCCAGACATTCCCTTCAGACTTGTTCTGTGATAATTCTTAGACTGTGTTTTTTCTCTGTATAATATATATGGGTATAGGCATAATTTTATTATTATATTTATTTATGTAGTGTATATTGGTGGTGGTGACCTTTTGAGAGCTGTATGCAATGAAATTTCATTTTAATGTATGCCGATTAGTGTACATTCAAAGTGACAAAGTTATTCTAAAGACTTCTTGTTAGTGGTAGGCAGGCAGACCGGCTTTCTAACTGTAAACAGGGGGAAATTATTATCCCGTTCCAGAAGAGTTTTTCTAAAATATCTCGAGAATATTTTCCTCTATTCCCACCTGCCGAGTGTAGAGTTACTTTTGAACACAATAAGCATGTTTAAAAGTAAAACCCATGAAGTTTTAATGGGATTGTAAATCTGCACGTATAAAGGAAGCAATTCCTTCCAAGCTGGTGGAACAATATTTTTTCCCCAAGTTTTTTTTTTAAAGATTCCAATTTTTCTTCTTTCCTTTCTCCCAAAATGAAAAGACGAAAAATGAACTGCATAAAGTTCTGCTACAGCAGGCACTCGTTCCCCCCAAAAGGAACTCACAAATTACAGAACACAAAAAAAAGAGAGGTAGGACCCAGGATATAGGCAGACGCAAAACTTTATATGCAAAAAATAGCCAATCTGGACGGTTAGCCCTGAGGGAAGGAGGGGTGGGCGGGGAACGGTAACAGCCGGCATGCATTTTTCAAAAGAACCACACAGGCTGCTGAGCCCTGGAAAGAAAGAGTGAGCCGAGTAACATTTTGTTGCTTCCTGATTGGCTAATTTCAAGCTCCCGGCTGCACTAATCGGCCGGCCGTGTCGCTCACGTGACCTCCAGGCGCGAGATTAAATTCAAACGGCCGTGTAGGAGGAGATCAGGGAGTCGGTTGCGTCGTTTCTGCGGGAGAATCTTTTCCTTGCAAGGCAAGCGGGTGGGTAAGCGCCGTGAGGTTGGGGGTGGGGGTGTCGGATGGGGTGCCGCTGTTTAAAAAAAACAAAAAACTGAGCGAAAACAAATTTAATTTGGACTTAGTGGAAGGGCAAGTTTTCCACTTTGTTGGATGGGTTCTAGTTGAACAAATGAAGCCGAAAAAGGGGGCTCTTGCTTTGGAGAAGGGGGTGGGGGGTGGGACAGTGGTTGGGGACTTGGTAGGTTATGATTTAAGTCTTCTGAAGACAAGCAACAGTTTTCTGGCTGCCGTAATGCCTGAAGGCAGATTGCTTCCCTCCTGTGACTTGTTTTTATTCAAGTATAAAACGGCTTGTGACATCTGGTGGTGCAACTTGAATGGGTTTGTCTGGTTGAGCCGTTTCTTGCACATTCTGCAATCTTTTCAGAAGAAACCCAGAAAACAATACGTATAGAATTGCTATGTTTAAAACACTTTTTTATTGGGTAAATGAGGCTTTATATTAAAAGGTTTTTCTTTTCTTTTTAGGAAATCAAGGAAAGTTGGAAAACTGAATTCTGTCAACAACAAAAAAATGGTAAGTCATAAAAGATTATCATTGGTATCTTAGACTGGAGCTGAAGATAGATTTATATTACAATTAAGAGATGGGACATGGGAGTTTCTGTCTTTAAAAAAAACGGCTATACCGTAATATATATGAAATATAAGGAAGGATTTTGTGGTACTGTATAAGGCAGGCAGGGTTTCTTGTACATTAAAGTTTTTTAAATTGTTGGAAGTTAAAACCTACCCCTCTCCTAGGAAAATGAAATACTTTAGGATATATTTAAAAAGGCAGAATATTTGAAGTTGCAACGACATTGAAAAAAGGGACATGACCGTTTTTTCACAGTTTACGACCATTGCAGTGTTCTGGGGTTATGTGATCACTTTTGCAACCTTCTGACAAGCAAAATCAATGGGGAAACCAGATTCATTTAGTAACTGTTATTCACTTAACAACTGCAGTGATTCACTTGAACAACTATGGCAAAAAAAGGTTGTAAAATGGGACAAAACTCAAATGTTTCACTTAACATAAATTTTGGGCCAATTGTGATCATAAGCCAAGGACTACCTGTAAAGATAAGTTTAAAAAATGTGAAATTACTATTGTGACTGGCTTTTCCAATGTCCTGATGTTATAGCTTTTTAGTATGTTATAACTGATGAAAAGTGAAAATTACAAGAAGTACGTATCAAGATGCTATGTGTCTCACACCACTCTAATTTTAAAGAGTATTTTAGAACAAAATATTCATGTTAGTTAATGCTATGTTAATTTTTTTCAGGAAGACAAAGAAAATGCCACTGTATCTACGGGTATATGGAACGAAGGAGACAGTATACTTGAAAACGCTTTTGTTTCCCCTAAAAACTTGAATACCCATGTACTAAAACAAATTAAGACGGATACAAATTGTAATTCTCCAAACAATACAACAGTAGCAGATCCTGAATCTGCAGCAGTAAAATCCAAGGTTATGTCATTTACTCAGACCTTTCTACAGAAAGCAAACATAAAGAAACAAATAAAAGCAGAAGTCTCCAATTCTGTTCCATGCATTTCAGATAAACGTATACTTGGCTCATATCGTGGAAAAATAGTTTCTTCTAAGGTAAACTCCTTCAGAAAAGTTCCAGCAAATGAGCCTAGCAATTCTCTGCCTAAATCAGGAGTAAAATCAGCCACAACTAATAATGCAAGTATAAAGGATGCTAAAGTCACTGGCAACACCGGTGCTCCTAAAGTCCTAAATTCCAAGCCTCTTCAGACCAGTACTGTGAGAGTTTCTGTTTATCATCCCAAAACTATTTTGAATCATGAGAAACTAACTATTAGTGGTGGCACAGAGAATACTGAGGCAGCCCAAAAGAACTCTTCCAGCAACCGGAAATCACTATTAAAGACTGTTCCAGTCAATGCTAATAATTCTGTCCCAAGGATAAACAAACTTGCTTCATCTAAAACTGTAAGTGGAAGCCTAAAAGTGCCACTTTCTGAAAGTCATGCTACTTCAAAATCAATTAAAAAAGCTCCGACATCTGTAGATGTGAGAAGGTAATGTAAATACCTGCATTTTTGCATCAAAATGTATTGAGGCAATACAACATCAAAAAAGAGATGGAATGTTTCAGACTATGCTTGCTAGATTTTGTGGAAACTCATTTAGCTGGGTTTGATCAACATGGTACACCAAAATCCAGCAAATTGCTTTATGACTATACTTATAAAAATGCAGATTGTACAAAAGAAAATAAACTCTTGCAGCCCCACCATCACGTCCATATTTATGACTAGGATGTTTTATTCACTTTGTCTTAAATTAGCCTTGAATAGTCAACAGTTTAAAGTAATTGCACATACTGAATTTGGGGGCTTGATAATAGGATGCTTTCACAACTGTTATTACAGAAGATAAATGTTTAATTGTGTGCTCCCCCACCCAATGTGATAAATCATATTTCTTTTGCTTTAGATAATTATGATCAAACAATTATACATGCAAACTACATGCATTTAGGCTTACAGGCTTCTGTGCTTTCACTAGAAGTTTTGTTTTGGTAGGCCATTGGATCTGAACTGCAATTGCCAATTGAACACGATGGCACAAAAATACGGGCAGCTCTGGCTGTTTCAGCTTAGTTCTCTCTTTGCCTTATTTTTCTAGCAATCATGACTTGTAATTGCAATTTTGAATATTAACTGCTTAACAGTTGATTTTTATCTCTTATAATGTAAATGTTTTTTGAGATAGATATGAACAGCTGTGAATTGACAGACCTCATTTCACTGAGGCTAGATAACTGTAGCTGTTCTATTTCTAGCTAAAAAGCAAGATGAAGTACTGTACTAATCAACTTAAATGTTTATATTTTAGACTTAAGCTAGCTGAATGGCAGGCTTCAAAAGGGATAAAGAAGGTACATAACAATGTACCTGTAAATAGTCAGCCTAAAAAAGCAACATGTCAGCAAACTATCAAAGAGCCAGCTGAATCTTTTTGGGCTGCTATCGTTGAAGAAGATGAACAAGGACTACTTAATGATAAGGTCAACAAGACACTTGCAGAATGTGTGGATCTCATTGAAAAGGTACAATGTTTAAATAAACCACCATAATGCTGAATTAACTTTTATAACATTCTTGTACTTTATTACGTTCTATAAATTCTGAAGGTACAAGGCATACTGGATTTTCAAGGCAACTGGTCTTATAATGAATCAATGTGAAGAGAGTTGGTAGGCTACATCATGACATCTTTTTTTTTAAATCAAAGTTTCATTAATTTTCAATAAACAGACAAAACACAAAACAGAAACATAAAACTTCTTTTTGGAAAGCGGCTTAATCCCGGGTTACATCTTTTTGTACAGACATAAATCAAATTCATGCTCACCTTATATACCATTTCATATCTTGTTTACCATTCTATATTTTCTATATAGCTTCTCCCCTCTTTTCACTCTCTTAATTCTATTTTATTTATTTCATCTCAATTTAAATCATTATACTTGTATCTTTTGTCCCTTCTTTTTCAATTATCTATTTATCTTTTCTCTTTAGCACAAAATTTCTTCTATAATCACTGGTTGAAGTGTGACGCTTTTCTATCTTTCCCCTAAATTTAACACTTAAAATAATATATTATTTCCATTCTGATTCTGCTTAGTACATTCTACGTACTACATTTTAAAATAAGAAAATAATAAGTTTATAACATAGTTAAAACAATGATCCATAACAAATTAAACTCTATCATTAAATCTTAAACATCTTACACATTCCCTTTAATATTTTATTAAATCATATAATATTCCAATTTTCTAACTATTTCAAATACAAATACTACAGTACAGTCTTATGTACTTTTGCAGAATCTCTTTTTTAATTGTATTTTACCCTTTGTCTCTGAAAAAAACCTGTTTTTTTACATCCTGTTTCAAGCCTTTGTAACTTCTCTTCCCTTTTTCCCTTCCTTTCTTGTCCAGTCTAGCCTTTTTACCTCCCCCATCTCTTAATCTCCACCCTCTTAGTCTCCTCTCTCTGTTGTATTCCTCTTTTTTGTTGCTTTCTGACATTGTATCGATTTTTCACCTTATTTTCCCCTTTTTTGGTTGTTTTTTTAAATCTTAAATTCTCCATTCTCTTTCCCCTCTTTCCCTTTTCTTCCTCAACTAAAGTTGTTTGTTCTTTAAAGATGGCTTCTTCTTCATCATCCCAGCCTTCTTGTTGTAATTCCTGGTAGGTAGAAATCGCCATTTCTAAGAAGTGAAAAACAGATCCAGAAGAGCCCTTCCCTTCTTGTTCCTCTTCTTTTAACTTTTTGAATTCCATTTTCAATTCTTCAACAGATAATGCCATTGTGAAATTTTTTTAAACAACCCAAATGTTTTTAGTCTTTCAAAAAATAGTTTCCAAAAGTCTCAAAGTCACCAAGCAATCCAAATCAACACAAACTGGTTCATTTAGCACTTTCTTCTTTTTATACTTTCTCTTCCTGGGGTAGAATTCAATTACAAAGTTCCAAAATGTATTTTTTAGAAGTCTTATTACAGTTCATCTCTGATCTTATAAGCCCCAAGCAGTCTCCTCCAGCAAAGTCTTAATATAAATTCTTTACCTCTCCCTTCCCACTTATAGCAAAAAAAGAATTTTTAATTTTTTAATTCCAATATTCAGAAATCTTTAATGTCCCCTTGGCTTTAATTTTCAAGTTTAATTACCTTCTGTTGCCAAAATGGGTTTTTCCTATTTCCATCTGCTATTTCCATAGGGAAGGAGAGTGAGAAAAAACAAACTTTCCCTTTTCACTTGCCGCTTTTTACGATCTTCTTAGGGAATAATGTATCTTTAAGAAAGTTAAATTTCCAGGGTATTTAGATGTTACTTGTTATCCCGGTTCAGCCAAAAACTTTCACTTTCTCAGCTTCCTCCTGCACATTCTTGTCCGGCTGAAAGCTTCTTTGTGGCGGCCATTGCTGACCGCCGCTCCACCGCCTTTGGAAAAGGGAGTTTAGCCGGCCGAGGAGGGGGGTTGCGATCCCCCCAGGCCCCTGCCCAGTTCTCCCCTATCTTCAGTTACTTCTATGGGGTAACTATAGCCTCCAAATCCGGCTGGATCGGGGGCACTCCAGCAGCGAGCGCAGCAAAAACCGCGCACGATCGCGGATTCCTGCCACCGCTGAAGCCTTACAAACCGGAACTCATGACAACATCTTATATATCATTTTATATTGTAACTAGAACACGAGTGTCAAACTCGTGTCATCACGGCGGCATCACATGATGTATCTGGACTTTTCCCCCCTTCATTAAACTGGATGTGGCCAGCGCGTGATACATCCAGCCCACCAGCAGGGAGTTTGATAGCCCTGAACTAGAACAATCTGATCTGCCCTGAATGGGGGAAAAAGACTGAACTGTAGAACACAGATATGTTTATTACTACAATAGAGAAGATTCTTTGAAGTTTTGTGTTAAATAAAAGGCTAGTCATTCTCTGGATAATGAAAATATAAAGTAATTCACAGAAGTTTATGCATTATAGGTAGTTCTTGGCTTAAAACCACAATTGGGACTGGCATTTCTAATGTATGGTGGTGCATTTGTAAATTGAGTTATATGACCAGAGCCAATTTTATAATAATTTTTGTAGCAGTCATACGAACCACACAGTTAAATGAATCACTTGATCATTAAGTGAATCCGGCTTTCTCAATAGACTGTCAGAGGCAGGCTGGGAAAGTAACAAATTGGGATCGTATGACCACAAGACACTGAAAACATATGCATGCCTGTTACTAAGCACCTGAATTGCTATCACATGAGTGAAGATGATGAGATGTCATAACTTGGAAAACAGATCATCAGTCACTTTTTTCAAACCAATTGCATCTTTGGATTATTAATTGAACAGTTGTAAGTCAACTGCAGTCTGTGCTTATGCAACATATTAACATTTCTCTAGAAGTCATGTAGTTTAAAGACATTTGGTACATTTTTTCTTTGCTATTTCTCTTCAGGGTTTTGTAGGTGAAAGAGTATATTCCATTTTGGAAAACCTGATAGTGAAAATACCAGAAGCAAAAAAGTTTGCTAAGTATTGGGTGTGCCATATGCGTCTTGAGCAGTTTCGCTCCACAGAAAAAGTAATAACTATTTATGAAAATGCAATTCTTGCAGGAGCACAGGTAAACACCCTTAAATGTGTTTTACTAAATTTAATTGTTTTCAGTTACTTTGCATATATTTGTATATATTTATAAACTTTCTCATATTTTAACTCTTTAGTTAAAATAGTTTTTAAAGTTACAGTTTTTAAAAAGTTAAAAGCATTCCACCATTTATTTAAAGAAATCAGGTTGGCATAGTCCTCTTTTGTTATAACAATCTTATGTGGGAGTGAGCAGTCTAAGATTACATTAAGCATATTATTTTACATGGCCTAGTGTCACCTTCTGCGTGGTGGGTTGCCATATACATTTGATTAATAAAATAAATATCTGAGGAAATTTGAACCTGGATCTCCAGTTTTATTTGAATAGTGATCTTTTATAACATTGTAAGTAATTACAAGTGGCCTGAGGACCTTAGGTGATAAAGAGAAAGTGGTTTGTCATGTATCTGTGTGGGATAAGGGTTTATTGGGTTTTGTATTTAGGGTTTTACTTTTGTAAGCCATCTGTAGTCACAGTGAGCTGGGAAGACATAAATTTTCTAAAATAATTAGCTAAGCTAACTGGATATTAATGATTGTTTTTTCAGCCTAAGGATGAGTTACGTCATACATTTGCAGATGTTATAAAGGCTAGACAAGATCTACCAAAAACTGATGGTAAGATTTAACATTATTGGGTTAGTTTCCTCAGATTTTCAATTTTGCCCTGCTGAACCTGATCCTGTATGATGCATTTTACTTGTTATAAGCAGCATTGTTAACTTTTATTTGCCTCCATTTTAGTACCTTTTGAATTTCTTTTTTTTTTTAAAATAAATTTTATTGATGTTACAATTAAACCAACAACACATACATAAATGAAAGAGAGAAAAAGAAGAAAGGAAGAAGAAAATAGAAAGAAAAAAACAGAAAACTATTAAAAGCATTCTCATCTTCAACAGTTTGTAAGACCTCTTTATCCTTATTTTATGCCATATACACACACCTAATCCTTACATATATCTGTGTATCACTACTATGGATTTATCCTATCCTCTTTTGCCTTTTAGTGTGAAGTCTATCTTTGGTCTATCCATTTGTACCAGCAGTTCCAGCTGTTGTAGTATATTGAAGTGTCTTTATTTTTTAATGCCAAAGTTAATTTGTCCATTTCTGTACAACTTGAAATTTTTTGAATAATCATCTCTGATGGAACATGAGGCTGCTTCCAACATTGTGCAAAAACCAATCTGGCTGCTGTCAAAATGTGTATTATTATATATTTCACTTTTTTGATATTTGTTTATCAAAGATCCCTAACAGAAAGGACTCTGATTTGAATTCGATCTGTTCTCTTGTCATTTCTTCCAGCCAATTTCTAATTTTCTGCCAATATTTTTGAGCTTCTGTTCAGGACCACCACATATGGAAAAAAAGGTCCCTCTTTTTTTTTTTGCATTTCCAGCAATTCGGACTCATTGGGGTGCATTTTCGCTAATCTCAAAGGAGGAAGATGCCATCTATAAAACATAGGCATTTTCTTTGTATGCTACCGATTTTGTAATTTTATTATTTCTACCCCAGACCTTTTCCCATTCTGTTATGGTGATGCTACGTCCTATATTCCTACTCCAGGCTATCATGTTCCCTTTTACAATTTCTTCTAATTCTACTTCTAATAAATAATTATAAAATTTTGTTATATTTTTTTTTGCCTGATGCTAATAAAATTTTATCTAATTGCTGGAGTTTATTGTTAATTCCAAATTCTTTCTTGTCCTGTTTATATCTACTTTGAATTTGAAGATATGCCCACCGATCAATTTTTAGTCCCCACTCTTGAAGTTCTTGCCGCGATTTCAAATTTCCTTGCGTATCCAATAGGTCTTTATATTTAATCATTTTAGTGATATCCAGATTATTTGGGTGAATCATTGCCTCCATTGTTGAAATCCAAATTGGTATTTTTAAATAGTGTTTTTTCCGTATTTTCTTCAAATTAGTTAATAATGAGTCTCTGATTAGGTGTCTGTGAAAATATTTCTGGCTAGTTTTCCCTACATCCCATAAAAAAGCATGCCACCCCCTCTGCAAGTCATGGCCTTCTAAGAATAATATTCTCTTATTGGTTAAATTCACCCATTCCTTCAACCATACTAAAGAGGCTGCACTATAATACAACTCCCAATTTGGAAGTGCCAGCCCTCCCCGGCTCTTCATATCCTGCATTGCCTTTAAATTTATTCTAGGTTTTTTTCCCTTGCCAGATAAATTTTACAGTTATTTTATTAAGTTCTTCAAAAAAATTTTTTTGTGTACTTTGATTGGGATCGTCTGAAATATATATAGGAATTTTGGAAGAATATTCATTTTAATAGCAGCAATCCTGCCTAATAATGAAAGTTGCAGCTTGCCCCATGTTTCTAAATCCTTTACCTGTTGCATCAATTTATCATAATTATTTTCCTTAAGTGTCTTACAATGTGCTGTCAACCATATTCCTAAGTATTTAACTTTCTTTATCATTTGTATTCCCATAACTTCTAGTTCTATTTTCTGTTAAATTTTTAGTCATTAATTTTGTTTTCTTCCTATTAATTTTAAGTCCTGCTACTGCTCCAAATTGTTCATTCATCAGTTTTTGTCCTCTTTGTATTGGTTCTTCAATGAAAAAAAATCATATCATCCACAAAAGCTTGCAACTTATATTCTTCTTTCTTAACCTTTAATCCTTTTATGTCTGGGTTCTGTCTAATTCGCATTAGTAATGCTTCTAATGATAATATGAAGAGCAGGGGTGAGAGTGGACAGCCCTGTCTGACTCCTTTTTCTATTTTTATTGGGCGGGTATATTCCCCGTTTATTATAATATTAGCCTGTTGTATATCATAAATGGTTGATATAATATTTTCAAATTTGGTGCCTAAATTCATATTATAAATTTTTTGGATTAAAAATTGCCAATTTAAATTATCGAAGGCCTTCTCTGCATCTAAAAACATAAGTGCAATTTATTTTTCGGGGTGGGCTTCGTAAAATTCTAAGACATCTAGTACTATTCTTAAGTTGTTCCTGATTTGTCTGGTCGGGAGAAATCAATTTTGATCTTCATATATATGCTCATTTAACATTCTTTTTAGTCTACTTGCTATAATAGAAGTGAATATTTTGTAATCAGTATTTAACAGTGAAATCAGCCTATAATTTTGTATATATCGGGGATCCGAATCCTCCTTCGGGATCAGCGAAATCAATGCCCCCCTCCATGAGTCCGGCATCCTGGCTGCCAATAAGATGTCATTAAAAACTTCCACCATAAGAGGTCCTATTTGTTCTGCTATTGCCTTGTACAGTTCCCCTGGAATCCCATCTGGTCCCGGGGATTTATTGTTTTTCTGGTTCTCTTGCTGATTTCAATTCAAACCAAGTAATATCTTTGTTTAATAATTCTTCCATTTCTTCCCCAATTGCTTTATCCTTCACTTCATCTAAATAGTTTCTTATTCTATCTTTGTTAACTTCTTCCTTTTTATATAACTCTTCAAAATACTTATGGGCAATTTCTTTTTTCTGTTCTATCTCCTGATATATATACCCCCTTCCATCTATTAGCTGGTATATCAATCTCTTTTCTTTCCTTTTTTAAAATCTATATGATAGCCATCTCCTGCTCAGCTCCTGCACCTACCCAGAAGAGCAGACGCAGGGGTAAGGGCAGGACTGGCCAGCCACCACAGCCGCTCCCACGCCAGCAAGACAGGCCCTCGGCATTTCCAGACAGGTAGTTCGCCTCCCCGCTGGCAGCTCCACCTCCAGCAGCCCACCTGGAAGTTGGCAGCGCAACAACCGCTGCCTCCACTGGGGGCGAGGACAGGAGGGCCGGGGCTTCCCTCCCTTCTTGTACGGCCCCAACTGTCCTGACCGGCAGTGGCAGCACAGGGCGAGAGACAGGAGAACAACCACTGCTGGAGCTGAGGGGATGGCGATGGTGCACACATGCAGCCCCACCTCCCCAGAAGAGCAGCAGCGACAGGCACAGGATGAGAGACAGGAGCGAGAATCGTTGCCACCCTTTCGCCCCCAGCGGCGGCAGGAGTAGCAGGCAGGGCAGCATTTGCTGGCTGGGTGGTCAACTGCCCTGCTCCTGCTGCCAGGGATGAAAGGACGGCAGCAGTTGTCGCTCCTGTCTCTCACCCTGTGCCTGCTCTTTGGGGGAGGTGGGGCTACCTGTGTGCCCCACTGTCTGGTCCAGCAGTGGTGGTTCTTCTGTCTCATCCTGTTATGTCTCTTCTGGGGAGGCGAGGCTGCGCAGGAGCTGACTCCATGCGGGAGGAATGTCTGTCCGTCTGGCGCTGGGGTAACAGGCACACTAGCCGGGAAGCAGTCACACTCCCTTGGCAGAAGTGGGGGGGGATTTCCACTGGCTTGTTCTCAGTGGTGGGCTAGAGAGGGGCGCTTCATTCCGTCCAGAGTTGGGGCGAAGCTCTCCACCTGCTGGCTCTCCAGCCCAAGCCCCAGGAGTACTGACGCCCCTTCCCTTTGAGGCCAGGAAGGGGCTCCATCTTTCCAGCGGAGGGAGGAAGCATTCCTCACCCAACTTTCTCCCTCTCCGAGGCTGTGGAACCGGGTCATTGGTGGGTGGGCAGGGAGGCGCGAGGACTCCCAAAAGGCCAGCGCATGCTCACCGGTCAGCTGGTCTTCACATGTGCATGCGCACCAGAAACCAGAAGATCATCTGTTCTTTCGGTTTCCAGCACGCGGGTGCCCACGTGCTCACTGCACGCTCCCGTTTTGGCACTCGGTGCCAAAAAAAGTTAGCCATCACTGCCTTATACCATGACAGAATATATTTATATTTTTTTCAGAATGCGTGAAGGAAGAAAACTCTGTAAATCCTGAGGGACCAGCTGAAGCGGAGATAAAAGAGGCTTTCAAGGAAGTCAGTTTGAATAACGAAGTGGAGCATAGTAATGAAGCTTTTCTAGAATCAACAGAAATTTGCTCAAAAATCAAAGAAGACTTTCCTAAGGAAAAAAACAAAAGTAAAGAACAGATGCAGAAAGACTTAAAAAATGAAGAAACTGCTACCAATGCAGAGAAAGATAGAATCCTAGAGATTCAAACTCCTGAAAATGAAAAATGCTCATATTTAATAAAATATAATTTGTCAACGACTTCCCATTTGGAAAGGTGAGTCTTAATATGATCTTTTCTATGTAGGGTCTGAGGATGTGGAGTTGCTGTCCTTAATTTTTGAAAAGGATGGTATGCTCAATTTGTGTAGTAATATCCAAGTATTTGGGAAAAGTGAACCTGAATTTGAGTTGAGTGAGTTTGAAAAAAATAATTTCAAGGTTGTGACTGAGAAGAAAATTAATAGCTGAAAACCATTGTAGAGGTAGCCCCGAATCTTCTTTTTACCAGGGATCAATTTCAGGGAAAACAGTTTTTCCATGGACTGGCGGGGCTAGGATGGTTTTGTGCACTTCCTTGATCTTGCTAATGCGTAGATGAAGCTTTGCTCGCTTGTGCAGCCCGATTCCTAATAGGCTATGGATCAGTATCGTGAGGGTTGAGGACCCCTGCATTATAGGACTCAAAAACTAATTAGTGAAAATTGGCAGGTGAAATCCCTTGTTGAGATTTATCTATCGGAATCAGGCTCTCAGTCATAGCTTATCTTCAAAAGAAGTATTTTGTTTTAAACTAAAATTCCACCGTAAGTAGTCCTTTAGTTACAAGTATTTGTTCAACTGTTTCAAATTTCAAGCACAAATTCAACAAATTTCAGGCACATGGCGACCAGTTCACTTATGAGTTGTTTCATGTTCCAGAGTCACATGATCACTATTTGTAACTCCCAATTGACTTCCCAAAAGCAAAGCCAATGGGAAAACCAGCAGGGAAGGTTGCAAGTCACTCAGACAAATCTCCTAAAACTCAAGCTATATTTTTGCTCTTGCGCACCGTAACCTTCCTCCTCCCCTTTGCTGCACGCCCTCTTTCTCTGGCTTTCCTGAGTTTGCATTACACTGCAGCAATCCCTTACCTCAACTTGTGCATGGCTCTCCCCAACCCCATGGCATCCTAAACTCTACCTGGGACTTATTAAATTCCTTAAGACCAATAGGATAACAATTTTTAGCCAGGATAACCGTTGGTTCTCATTCACCTGGAGAGCTTGGAAAAAAGATAATTGTACATATTTGATTTTAACATGATATACTTTGTAAGATTTCCACCAATCTTCATTTTATTGACCATATCTGTCTTCCCCTGAGGCTTGCTGGACAATAAGAGTACATTGTCAGGAAAAATAATATCTTTTGCTACTAGATGTCTAGAAGCCATGTATGAATATTTTAAATACTGTGTTTCTCCAACAATATGGCCTCCACCAATAGGAAGGCCCAGCATGATTTCTAGGCATGAAGTGAAATTAAGCCCCCCCCTCCCCCCCAAAAAAATTTAGGCCTATTTAATCCATGCATTTCCCCGCCATTTCTCACATCATTCGTTAAAACTACATGAGGTGAAGAGAAATGGGGGGGAAGGGGAGGGAGAAAACTTGCCTTTAGGAGCACCCTGCAGGTAGCCTAGGCTAGAATACTCCAATCTACTACCGATAGAACATCGGCCGATAGAAGCTCCCCGAAGGCAGAGTCACCAGCCACTTCTATTGGCCAGTGGAAGCGGCCTCGGGGCGAGCACCCACGCGCACTCCCCTCGCCACGAAGCCATTTCTATTGGCTGATGGAAGCTCCCCAAAGGCAGAGTCACCAGCCACTTCTATCGGACGGTAGAAGTGGCTTCATGGCGAGGGGAGTGTGCGTGGGGCACTTGCCCTGAGGCCACTTCTACTGGCCGATAGAAGCAGCTGGTGACTCTGCCTTTGGGGAGCTGCTATTAGCCAATAGAAATGGCTTCGTGGCGAGGGGAGTGCACATGGGGCGCTCCTGTCAGGAGTACTCCGTGGGCTGCAACGCCTTGCCCTGAAGCGGCTGGTGACTCTGCCTTCGGGGAGCTTCCATCGGCTGATAGAAATGGCTTCGTGGCGAGGGGAATGCGCATGGGCGCTTGCCCCGAGGCCGCTTCTACCGGCCGATAGAAGCAGCTGGTGACTCTGCCTTTAGGGAGCATCCATCGGCCGATAGAAACGGCTTCATGGTGAGGGGAGTGCGTGTGGGTGCTCGCTGCGAGGGCGCTTCTACCAGCTGATGGATTTCCTCCCCCCCCCACACACACACCTAGAGTGCCCCATGCGCACTCGACTCTCCACGCCGCCGCTTCTACCGGCCGATAGAAGCGGCGGGTGACTGCCTTCGGGGAGCTTCCATCGGCCGATAGAAGCAGCCTTGTGGAGAGGTGAGTGCGCCTGGGGCGCTCTAGGTTGGGGTGTGTGTGGGGGAGGAAATTAAGTCACCCCTGAAAAGACGTCCTAGCCGTTTTTTCGGGGCTCAAAAAAAATAAGACCTGGCCTTATTTTATGAAAAACACGGTAGTAACAGTGGTAATATTGTATTTAGTACTGATATATTTAGAATTTCTTAGAAGTAATAAAACAAGCTATCTGGATCTATATCATTATAAAAGGGTATATAGCAACAGTGACTAAGACTTGCAACTTTGGCCCAAATATCAAATTCTGAAATATTTTCTAAACCAGCTTTGGCAGTCAAAATTATCAGTCTTTTAAACTGGCATGCTTTTATGTTCCTAAAATCACACATGGCTGAAATATGTATATCCATTATCCGTAGAGAAGCAATGTATTTTTTTTTTTACAATATTCAATGCCAAATTAATAGTTGTAATACTGTTATTCACTCACTAAGGCTGTTCTGTTGTCAAGCCACATTGAATTATTGCATTCTAATCCTGTAAATACCTAAATATGGTTTCCCTTTTTTACCCTAAGCACAAAGAAAAGGCTGCAATGTGATGACTCTGCAATTAAAAATCTGAAATTCCTAACACCTGTAAGACGGTCCTGCCGCATCCATGAAAAAGCGAATAAGTTACCAAGTATGCTGAAAGATCACAGTCCTTGTGTTTCTTCGCTTGAACAGCTTGGAGAATTTGGAGATGAAGGCACTGGTTTCATCTACAGACCAAACAATGCTTTGCAAACTGTCAACACTGCAACTATCAGTCAACAGGAGCAAAGCAGAGAATGAAAGCACATGTTTTTATTTAAACCAAAATTAACTCAGTGTAGGTGTTAAATTCCTATGGTTTAACTAACTTTTAATTTAGCTTTACTGTTACTAAATAAATAAAAACACATGTAATATGGAAAGAATTGCTATGCTTTAACATGTAAAGGAGATACATTTATACCAATCTTACCACTGAATGAAACCATTAGAGAGCATTTCACCATTAAGAGACCATTGATGACATTAAACTAATTGTATAATGAGATGCATGTTGGGCACTTAAGTTAAACTTTGTGGGCAAGGAACAGAAGAACATTGTGTCTAATTTGTAGATCTGAAGATAAATCTTTCCAAATAATGGCAATTAGTCATTAACCGTTTGATAATTTTCAATGTGTTGAATGTTAATTCACTTGTACTGATGTTGTAAACTTTTTAAATTTACCTTTTTCAAAACTTGTCTGAATTTCATCTCTCGCTGTTGAGCTATATATATGTATATTATATTGTATAATATACATATGTATTCTATGTATGTTAGTGTATATATGTACGTTTATTATATATGTTTGGGTATAGAACATAAAATAGAACATTAACAACTCTTGAGAAGTGTGGGGAAATAAAATTGCCAGTTTTATAAATGCTGTTCTGAAAGATTTGATCAGTGGTTGGAAATAGCATGCTAATAACGATTTAATATAAAAATGTGAGTGCCTATTAATAACATTAGGAGTAACAGTTTGTCAGCTGAAATCAATGTGGCAATGACAATCTTCTTTCATACTGTTGCTCAGATACATATAGTCTGGAAGTTTGGTTTAAGAGTATTTTAACATTAACTATTTATGACCCCAAATTGTTCACACATTGATAATTATTTGAGATTTGTCCACCAACTGAAATTGAAAGGAGTCTAGGCATTTAACAAAACATTGTCATGTAAAAAAATAAGCACAATTTTTTTACTCTAAATACATATATTTCAGCAAATATATATATACAATATTTATAAAGGGGACATATAACTAACATACCATATTTACATTTTTTAGTCCATTTTCATTTAGTTTGATTTGCTCTTTGTTATTGAAGTGAGGTATCCATGCCAAATGAAAACTCAGGCCTTCAGAGGTTATATATGCAAATCAGGCTGGGAAAGGATTTAAAATATTTGCTGAACAATTGGATGTCAATTCCACTTCCTGTAAGATTTATCTAGTAGAAAATATTTCTGGTAGAATAGAAGATGCTGACAGAATTCTCTAAAGCAAGGGGTCTCCAACCTTGGCAACTAAGCTTTGCTGGCTGAGGAACTCTGGGAGTTAGTCCACAAGTCTTAAAGTTGCCAAGGTGGGAGACCCCTGCTCTAAAAAATTCCAGAATATCATGGATTCTACAAGTAGCTTTTAGCGCTATTGATGTCAAAGTGGATGAGTAGTCCATTTGACTTCTGTATCCTCTATCTGGTGGCATTCCTTTTGTATAGATGTCAGGTTTTTTGAAGATAGTATTAACACTGACAATTGGATTGATAAATAGTTTTCCTGCTTCATTTCAGTTTCCTAAATCAGATACTTTCCTCAATATTTCCAATCTTGTCATGCCAGCCTCCATTTACAAGTAGTATATTTGAACTCAATAGTAAACTCATTGCATTCCTTTCCATCAGTAGCTGCAGCATAAATTTGGATAACCTTCATACTACAGATCAGTTGGTATTTGGCCATTTACTGCACTATACCCAAGCATCTTTCGCATCTTTCTTGACTGAAAGCAATGGCATTCCTTTGTTTTTTTAATTTCCTGAATAGTAAAACAGTATCCTTATCTAATTTTAAACTACCTGATTCCAGGCCATTTCAGTTTATCGATGCCTAAGATTCAATGTATAATCCTTTCATATTTCATTGTGTTGAGTTTTCCCATGTTTTCATTGTAATTTTGTCTTTGCAGCTTGGATGGTCTTTCACTGTATGGCAACATTAACAAGCAGACATCCTCAGGGTTTTAATCATGCCATTAATCCCATTGCCATAATCCTCCACAAGATACTCAGCTCTTCTTCAATTGCACGTTGGGCACGATCTGACCTGTGAGGCCCATCATCCAGTCTCACTTCATCAGTCATTTCATATTGTCCATACTTTTTGGGTAGAAACCACTGCTTTGCCATTGTCACTACAGTGACCCTCTGCCTTCAGCTTCTTCCCATATGACTGCAACTGACCTTCGTGCCTTGGGTGACTATGGCACATATACTCTTGGCACAGACTCGGGAACACTCCTACCACCAGCCCGAGGAAGCAGCATAGCAAGAGTTGGATGTGTGTATTGGGGGGGGGGGGGAGTTCAAATCCAGAACCCCTCCTTTTATTCCCAGCGCTTGATCTCCCTATGTTTGGAAAGGGCTCCATTAACACACAACCCCGTGCCGTGGCCAGCAACAGTTCATGAGCTTACCAAGGTGTCCGTTATCAAAGTCACTTCTAAAGGGATCTCTGGAAGAAAACGTACTCGGAGGAAAGTAGAAATCTACCTTCTGTCGGCGATCATCTACCACCCCGTGCAAAAAAAAAAAGAAGCTTTGTGTCGAAACCACGCCCGTCGGGGCCCTCCATTGTCTCCACCCTCTATGTCTATGGCGCTGACCTGGCTGGGCCGAGCGGTGCAAGAATCGCTCGCTCCGAATTTGCAGCGTCTCGGTTAGACCGCCGGGGAGCGGCGGGCGTCGTAAGAGGGCCATTGCGACCCGATTGCCCGCATCTAAAGTATAATAGTAAGAAGAGGATCCCTACTTTACGGCTCCCTCAGTCAAAAGAGGGGAGAAAGAAAAGCTTTTTCCTCAACGGAACTGGCTTCCCGGAGCGGGATTTGCTGGATGTAGGGTGAGCATTACTGGCCTAGATGTAGGGAATGGGTATGAGGTTTCTTCCGGACGTTCAGCCTCCGCCCTCCCGTGCCTGAAAGGGCGTTGGAAAAATTCCTGTCCTTTGCCTCCCAAGCCAGCGAAGCCATCCAGGGTCCGTATATCTTTTATTCAAAGTGAAATACGCTATTAATGATAATCTCTACATTTCTTGCCCTAAACGAAGGAAATATAAAAACCTACTGCGCCTCTGGTTTATGTTTCACCCACTTCCGAAATACTCTGTGTGTATGTGTGTGTGTCTGAAAAAATGCCCTATGTTGTTCAGCCCTGTGTCTTTATTTTCTTGATGTAGGGTAACTACTGCCTTTGTGGTAGATCACAACTTGGGTGCTTGGCCACCAAGCATGTATTTATGACAGTTGCATTGTCCTGGGGTCATGTGATCATCATTTAGGACCTTTCCAGTGAACTTTTGTCAATGTGGGAAGTTGGATTTGCTTAATGATCATGCGGTTCGCTTAACAACCATGGCAAAAAGTCATAAAATTGGGCACAACTCGCTTAACAACCATCTTGCTAGTTCCAGTTGTGGCCATAACTCAAGGACATGATTGATATGGGTTTCACAGTTTAATCATTATGACTGAACACAAGCATAATGCCCCCAAATTTTCTCCTTATTCTATCAGTTGGATAAAGAAACAGAGACATCCTTATAGAAGTGGATTGAATGTTGCCTAAGAAGGGGATTAATTGGGATCATTCACTGAAGTTGACTAATATTGAAATTTCCTTACATAGATGAGAGTATAAAGCAGGAAAATGGTGACGTGATGTCATCAAGTACTTGCATCAGATATTGGAACATGATTGATAAAAATAATGTATTTTTTACATTATAATAACATGATTTTGATGTCATTGTAGTTTGTAATAGCTGTTTATGCATCCTTTGGAAATCTGATATCTAGATATTATTCTGGTTGGTGGTATAGGAGTTAATTCCTGTTCTATTTCATTAATATATTTTTGAACAAATCACTACCAATTATGAGCCACCACTCATTTCTAATTCAAGGGAAACCAAATAATGTAGGGTTATATAAGGAGACCTGCATTATTTTAATTATCCAGAGGTCTACAGTTAGCAGACTGGAAAAATAGCTAAATTGGATAATTACTAGTTATACATATAAGTATATAAATACTTTAGTAATTTGCAAAGTTTTTAGTTTTGAAGTTGGAGAGAAATGGAGTATAACATAAACCATGTCTTTTATTATTTTGATATTTGTTACTAGGAAATTTTGGTGAAAGGAAACATTGAACCAGCTGAGCTTTCTGAAGACACCTGCAAAAACTGAAGCATTTTGATTATCATGGAGAATTACAATGTACTAATGGAACTTGGGGAAGGATCATTTGGTAGAGTCCTCTTAGTCCAGCATAAAAGCACAAGACAGAAATATGCAATGAAAGAGATAAGACTTCCCAGGGTAAATATTTCCTTCCCTAAATTCTTCTCTTTTATCCATATAAGAGCAATAGCATTTAGACCATTATACCGCTTTATAGTGCTTCACAGTCCTCTCTAAGTGGTTTACAGAGTCAGCCTATTGCCCCCAACAATCTGGCTCCTCATTTTACCCACCTCGGAAGGATGGAAGGCTGAGTCAACTTTGAGCCTGGTGGGATTCGATCTGCCAAATTGCAGTCGCTTGCAGTACTGCACTCTAACCACTGCGCCACTGAGGCTCCTACTAGTAATCCTACTAGTTAGAGCAGTGGTCCCCAACCTTTTTTATGCCGCGGCCCGGTACCGGCATCAGCTGGGCGCCGCCATCTTGTTTTGATGAAAAAGTGCTTCCGGTGAGCTTTCTACCCGGAAAAGCTCACCGGAAGCACTTTTTCATCAAAGCAAGATGGCGGCGCCCAGCAAACCAGCGGCCCGGTAGGATTTGTTCCACGGACCGGTACCGGTCCATGGACCGGTGGTTGGGGACCCCTGAGTTAGAGCATTATCATACTTGTCAATTGGCTTTCAGGTGCTGGTTGTTACCCTTAAAACTCTTTATGGTTCAGGATCAAGATATCTATGGAACCACCTATTCACTAATAGTATATTGTTTGTCCAACAAGAATAATTTCCATCCAGGTATCTTTGCTTCAAGAATGCTTCCTTCAGGGATCATGGAAGCAAGCTAGTCTAACAATTTCTGGTATAAGATTGTGCCTAACCAAGTCCAGGATACCTAGGGATTATAGTTATAATTTATGTCCGGTGAGTTCATCTCAGATGGCAGATTCATAATTAGCTGATCCCCATTTAACAACTACCATTGCCTTCAGAGATTTGGTTGATGATAAAAGCATAAGACAACTTTTGCATTAGTGGTGCCCTGAACAAGGACCTTGTTGCCTCAAGAAATTGCTCTGCTCTCTTTAACTTTCTCTCTTCTGGTGGCAATGTCTTGTTAAATAACATTTTCATTTGCTTTTTATCAAATGTTTGTTTAATTTTATATACTGATTCCCTTTGCTAAATGTCAGACTGTGCTCCTTCTAGATCCCAAGAAAGAAATACTCAGACTCCATGGTGTAGAGCAGAATTTATCTTTTACTGGAAAATGAATGGTAGCAAACAGAATCAATTCCGAAACTAAAATATTGGCGGGTAAAATGCATATACAAAGGGATAGAATTGCTCCCCCCCCTCCAGAGATCAAATGATTCTTCCAATTAAAACTTCTGAATAGGATCATGTGGTCATCTCTAGGTGATGATGAGGCTACTGTCAGTGACCTTGACATATTTTGATAAAAGTTCGCAGTTGCGCATATAAGAGGACAGAGGTTAGTGAGAAATGGAAAGTTACAACAAAGAATCCCCCCTCCCTTTCCTTACCCAGCAAAAGAATGCAAAACACCTCCTGCCTTCTTCCCTTCGAAGATTCCCCCCTCCCACCGTTTCATGACAGCCGAAAGAGAAGTAAAAAGCATAGCAACAAATGAACCATAATTAGGAGCGGATATATCTTGATAGGTAGGGATGGGTATCTCTTGAGGCTGACAGGTTGGTTCTTTTTGATTTTTTTTCTCTTCTTGCTGCTGTAAATTTCTTTTGAAGGATGCTCCTAAATTTGTTTAAAAATATTATTTTACTATATTCATAAATATTAAACCACTTTGATGAGCAAAAGCAAAAAATATAATAAGGAAAATATAAAACAATGAGTTATCTGTTTTTACTTACAAGTAAAAGTAATATAAGTGATATATTTTTAGTCTGTCTTCAATATAGAAAAGTCCTGGAATGAATCTATAATATTGGCTAAAATGAATCATCCAAATATTGTGATGTATGCAGACTCTTTTGAAGGTAAATATGTGCATTTTAATAATGTTACATGTTACAATTGCATTATTCAATTTGCTGAATTGCAAATGTCTTTTTATCTTCTTGATGTTTACTGTTTGTTACATTTCACTTGATGTAATACTAATGAATTTTAAAATTATTTAAAAATTAGCTGATGGACATTTGCATATAGTGATGGAATATTGTGATGGCGGAGATCTCCTACAAAAGATTAAATTTCAGAAGGGGAAATTGTTTCCTGAAGATATAGTAAGAATCCAAATATATTTAAATTTTTAAATAATTGAAATGGGAAACTCTGATGAATGTTGGGGTATGTGTTTAACACCTCTTGATTTATTGTTATAGTCATAACAGTAGACCAAAAATGTTTTTAAAATGGAGCTAAATACAAAGAACATAAAGTAAAAAGTAAACCGGATAACCTTATAATGATTGTGCCAGTAATCATCCCAAATCAGGAGTGTTATATCATCTTTTCCAATTAACCAGTATTATTAAATCACGTCCACTTTTGAGAGCCATGGGTCGAATTTGCTGATCTGGAAAAGTGCTCCAAACTCCTGAATTTTAGCTTCTGCAGATAAATACAGTTCTCTTTCTACAATGACACTAATATAGAATTTCTTTATGCACTATTATGCAATCTTTTGTATCAACTTGGCAGATCAGGCAGAATTTATAACTTTTCACTTTGAAAAGTAAATATTTCAAAGAATAAATCACTTCAAAACTATTATTTTGGGGGGTTTTTTGTACATATTTTGCATGGCTGTATTTGTAAAAGATAATGGATTGTTTCGATCCTTTAGAATCTGGAAATGTACTTTACATCCTATAGATCAGTAGTCCACAACTAGCACCAGGGACCAGTTCCATGGAGAGAGGTTTTTCCATAGACGGGTGGGGGCATGGTTTCATGTGCTGCCTGCATCCCACGGATGGGGGTTCACTTGTTGCGCGGACTGGTTTTTGGCATGCTGTGGCCTGGTAGCGGTCCATGGACTGGGGACCCTGTGATAGATGGTATCCATATACAATTCTTTTGATTTCAGATTTGAATAAAAGTTTAATTAAACATTTTTAGATGCAATAAAGTATAATTTCTAGGGTGGAACATGTTGCAAGTAGTTCATAGTAATCCAATATAAAATTTCTTTGAGATTAATCAGGATCACATATAAACTAAGGAATGAATTAGGAGTAGTATTCACAGTACTAATGCAGACTAGCCGTAAAATATTTTGAAGTACCTGCTTGATTTCACATATTGTATTAAATTGTGTGGCTACTGACTAATATTAGTAATATTGCTCTTTATTTCTTTTACAGTTCAGTTCATTGTCGTTTGCTGTGTTTTGTCTCTTTCCAGATACTTAAATGGTTTGCACAGATGTGTTTGGGTGTAAATTATATTCATGAGAAACATATATTGCACAGAGACATCAAATCAAAGGTAATTGGAATCTCCTCAGTAGGTTTTACTATAAAACTACCACCAGGCATTTCCTGTTTAGAATGTTGAAAACCATAAAACCACCTCTGCTATAAATTTCAGTTTAGTATTATGTTAATGGTATGTACAAATATTTATATGCATTCCTTTTTTTAATCAAACCACTCACATACCAATAACAGAGGGCACCAGTATGTTCCAAGGTAACTTTGTTCATACCCACTGGACTCCCTTATTGACTTGACTTAAATAAAATATTATGTTAATTGAAATAAATCAGTAGTCTTCATGTTGAATACCAAGGTGCAAGCCTTTAATATCAGGGTGATCCATGCCATAAAATTCCAACTGTATAGTAGTGCGGAGAGCTGGTTGCCTTCCATAAATGAGTGTGTTATTACTGGTAATATCCACTCTGGCAGATATTCTAAATAGGCAAATATTCATTGAGCGTGCTCCCTGAACATGGTCTCAAAATTCCATGGCCCCAGCTTCCAGAATGATCTGTCTCTTGTTTGCACCCAAGCTCACAGTCAAATGGAGGTATGTGCTTTATCCAATGAGATAAGTATAGAGATTATTTGGAGTCCATTTGTGTCAGACTCATCATCTGAAATAACTCAATTCTTTTAATGTGATTTACCAAGGGAGATTTCCATGTAGGCTGAGATGGGACATTGTGATTAATATTTGGATATAATAGTAGTAAGAGGAAGAAGAAAGCAAGGGCATCTTGGGTTCAATCCCAAAACATCCAGAGCCATTGGCATTGACAAAATGAATCAGTCAATTGCAAAAGGCAGCTTTACTAGGAACAGCTTATATTCTGCAAACAATATCTTTAACACCATCAAACAATATTCACTGCCTATCCAAGGGCCTTGAAAGGGACTCAGTGGTTGGATAAAAATGTCAGAGGCAGGGTAAACATCTGATTGATTCATTCTGTGTGATGAATCATAATAATTATATTTATTATATTTATTAATGATCCTTAATCGTCTAGAACATGGAGTTAAACATAGTGTATAATAATAGGGCCATCAAATAGGGCTGATGCTATAAATACAGATGGAAATACAGGGAGTGAAATCTGTCTAATTTCTCTTTCATAATATAGAATGTATTTCTTACACAAAATGGGAAAATAAAACTGGGAGACTTTGGATCTGCAGTTCTTCTTAAAAGGCAAGTATATGTCAAATTGTGTCTAGAAATCTGTTCTGACTTTTTTTAAAAAAAAACAACCCTAATGGCTGGTTGCTGTTGGATTATTTATCTGTTCATCACTAACATATTTGTTTTTGGACTAGCCCCATGGCATATGTTTGTTCATATGTAGGAACCCCTTACTATGTGCCTCCAGAAATTTGGGAGAATATGCCATACAACAATAAAAGGTAAGAATTAATCAAAGTGTATAAGAATCTTGATTTTAAAACTCTGTAATATTGGGGAACTAATGGAAAAATTGTATACAGTGCTCACAACTTGCGAACATTACTCAGTTTACAAACATGATTCAAAACTAAATATTTTATGCACTTCTTTAAAAATATTTTTAAAATAATGTAAGTAGGGGGAGTGTATTCCATGCAAAAGGTAACTTCTTAAGGCAGTTTTTAATAATCTCAAATCTGGGGAGATCCTTATAGCATGTTAGAGTTAGTGCCCCCTGAAATTTAGAAACGGTTATATATGTATCTTGCTCATGTGAAGTGGAATCTGACTGCTCAAGAAAACATTCTTGGGTGGAGCAGACAGATCCTGTTGTTTAAATGACTAAGTGCATGTTTACAGCCCATAAATAGGAACTCCTCTTTGGAGAAACCATTTAGCAAGTTAGTATTTTGAGTTTTTCTCTCCATCTATTAACTTTTGTTATGTTATTGATCAATCTTTTAATTGGTGATCATAACAACAGGTTTGATTTGATTCCAACAAATGATAATAATCAAGTGATCCTCTAAATAAAAGAATTGATTAATTAATAGCAACCTTCCTTTCCTACATTTAAGAGACTAGGCTGCCAATAAAAGAATCAGTAGCACAGGAGAAAACTATAATACAGTACAACACTCAAACGTTACTATCTGGAATGTTGGCAGCAAGATACTAAAATGATATTTACATCCCCCCCCACAAATAAACTTAGTAGGAATGGTGCTGCTTCTGAAAAAAATAAACTCAGTCTCACTCAGGAAGAATTCTGATATTGAAAATAGTAGCATTAATTAACTTACGTCCTCGTAAGAAACTGAGCATGATAAGATTTTCTCTTCACTTTCCCCATGCTGTCCTTCGAATAGCTCAGTCTTGTTCTGTTCGGATCAGGACTGAGCTCACTTGTCATCGTGTCTAGTTGCATTTTAATTTCAACATATAACAAGTTGATTTGCTATTGGAGAAAAACAGACGTAACATTCTGGTAGGATTCAAGAGCCTATTTAACATGCCCTTCTGTTTTCTGATTCACTCTCCCAGTTTGTTCTCCTTAGATTTTAGTTCAGCAACCCCTGCTTCCTACAATTCGTTATTTTGTTATGTTAAACTCTTGTTGTGATACAACAATTAGGTAGAACTGCCTCAACACTGCAATACATGTTTATGTAGTACCTGACATTCTATCTGACATAGCTATTTTTAATTCCTCACATAGCACTTTAGCAACAAAAAAGGAAAAAAAAACACCTCCTAACTTATTTTTAGCAAATGTCATGCTAATTATACTCTCAAGCTAACATTTAATCTTGCTTTTTTTTAGTGATATTTGGTCTTTGGGCTGTGTTTTATATGAGCTGTGCACCTTAAAACATCCAGTGAGTATTCTTTTTTATGTTTTATTTCCAGAAAAATATGCAGTTCCTATGTGCTTTCCCCCTGTGAGCAACACTTAATTTTGTAACAAATACATACTAGAATGTGTTATAGAACAACATAATGTAGCTCGGTCTAATGACACTAATAATTAGCCCTGTAGGCCACATAGTAAACATAACTGAGATTGAAAATTAAAAAAAATACAGTATAAGTGACAGGTTTCATATCAGAGACGAAAACAAATCTCAACTTCCCAGAGACTAAATCCCACATTTAGTATGTTTCTGGGCAGAAATCTCATTGATCTGAAATACCTAGATTATTTTTTATTTTCGAGAAAAATGAAATCAAATAACAGAAAATATGTGCCAATTGCAGGAACAGCTTTTAAAGCCCATGTGCTGCATAGGTCTGTGCTCCAAAAATTAAGAGTCTCGTTAAACTAAATTTTAATTTCATTTAAAAATTAAGAATTCTTGGCTTTTTCCCTCATACTCAAGATTATGAAAGGCTTCTGGGTGATGTTGATAAAAATGGTTTACCCAAGCTTAGGAATCACTGGTTCCTGTTGCACTGCATTTATTCCCGACCATAGAATTCTTACTTCTAATGTATCATGCACTCTTAGATCATTCGCATGAATTGTGCAAAGATGATATGAATTAATTTTTGTAGAGTTTTTTTTAATAAATTAAAAATGTTAGTACTTATTAAGCTGTATGTTTTCCCCGTATTTGTTAAATTTAGTTTCAGGCTAAGAGTTGGAAACATCTTATACTTAAGACATGTAAAGGATACTACAATCCACTTCCATCACACTATAGCTATGAACTTCACTATTTAATAAAGCAGATGTTCAAGATGAATCCCAAATACCGTCCATCAGCTAGTACAATTCTTGCAAGAAAATGTCTGGCAAAATGTATTGGACAATCTTCACTACCAGAGGTAATAGCATATAAATGAATATTGTATTTGGGTCAGAAGTAGGAACAGTGTTTCATGTCTCGTGGGCTCCCTTGCTGTACCTAGTGACAGCTCTTTAGAAAGCTACAGCTTTTCCTTGGCAGATACTGTGGCTACAGTCATTCCCATAAATGTGAGTTAAGGAAGCACTGCCTTTGTAGGATCTCCTTTCTCCAAGTTTCTTCTCCAAAGGTATCACATGGACATATCAAGGCATGCCCAAATTACCCATCCCACTGCATACTGGACCAGCTGTAGTTTCCATGAAGTCTCCAAGGACAGTCCCACATGGAGAGCATTACATTAGTCTAACTGTGAGATGACTAGCGTATGGGTTACTGTTTGAAGAGCCTCCCAATCTCGAAAGAAGGATATCTGATGCACTGGTAGTAGTTGGGCTGAGGCCCCGTTGGCCACAACTACCACCTGATTTTTGAGCAGGAACTATGAGATAACTCCAGATTGAGGAGCACTCTTAAATGGGGAAGTGCAACTCAACCCAAATCTAAAAATGAAAAGTCTCCAGATTTTGGGGAGTGGGGTGGGGTGGGGGGCAAAAATCCACAGTCATTTCGTTTTCACAAGATTGAGCATATCTGTGTCTCCACATCCAGACCCATACAAATTTCAGGTATAGGTCATTGACGGCAGCACTTGGCCTGCTCAAGATCAAGGCAAACAATTTGTGTCATCCACATATTGATGATAGCAGTCCCCAAACTAACAGATGACATCCCCCAGGGTTTTCTGGTAGAAGTTAATAGGAGGCGAGAGTGCATCAAGCTTTGAGGCATCCCACAGATGAGTGCTCATTATGCGACTTCTCCCCCTTGCTTACACTGACTGGAATTGACCACCAAGAAAGAAAACCCATTATAATGTGCTACCCATAATTCCCAAACCATGCAGCTGATGCAGAAGGATACTGTGATTGAGGATATTGAAAGCCACTGAGAAGTCACAAGGATGGACATACCACCATTCCAGCGTCATTAGATGCCATCAGCAATGTGACTAATGCCATCTCCATACTGAATCCACCCTAAAACTTGGCTGAAATAGACCCAGATAATTGGCTCCCTTCTAACCACTGGTCAACAAATGTCCTTAAAAGGATTGATAATTATCCCAAATCACCAAGGCTAAAGATGGCTTTTTGAGGAGGGAGTACACTACTAGCTTTTACAAAATTGAAAGAAAAAAAAAACCCACTTTTTTCTGAAAGAAGCTTATACAACTGTGTGCACTTGGGCAACCGGGTACCTCCCAAATAGTCTTAGCAGCCCAGGAGGGGCCTAGGTCTATCAAGCAGGTAATGGTCCTCGTTGTTTAGAGCAGGAGTCTCCAACCTTGGCCACTTTAAGCCTGGCGAACTTTTAACTCCCAGAAGCTTTGCTGGCTGGGGAATTCTGGGAGTTGAAAGTCCTCCAGGCTTAAAGTGGCCAAGGTTGGAGACCCCTGGTTTAGAGGATCCTGCGACATCACTATTTGATGTCAAATAATGTGTGACATCAGAGTCACACACTGTTTCATCCTAGATAATTTCACAAGAGGCACTTCAAATGGACTAAGCGGCAGTGGCCCCCAACCTTTTTTGTGCCACGGCCCAGTACCGGCATCACAAAATGATCCGCGGCCCGGTACCGGCATCAGCACGCATGACAAGGCAAGGCGAGCCGAGCGACCGGTCAGCCAGCTGTCCCCCGCTTCTCCCCGCCACCTTCAACTCCTCCTTTGTACCTTTTTTGTGCTTTTTTTATCTCCTCCGCCATCGGGACGGCTCTTCGTTCGAAGCCGCCCCCCCCTTCGATGAAACTAAGGCGCAAGGATTCCTTCAGGACCCAAACGCCGCTTTCCAACCGGAAAAGCTCACCCGGAAGCACTTTCTGTCGAAACAAGATGGCGGCGCCCAGCAAACCGGTGGCTCGGTAGAAAATGATCCACGGACCGGTAGCGGTCCGGGGCCCGGTGGTTGGGGACCCCTGGACTAGCCCATTCAGAATTCAACTCTGAGCATACCTGATAATTAGAGCATTCTTCACAGTGTCCCTGCTGTTATTTCTGTAACCCAACCCTCCCCAGCAAGATCACAGTATCTTAAGCTGAGCTGGTGGATAATTATTCACCATTCTAATCACCACAGCATAATCCTGAGTATGGACTTTTATGTTCAATCAGACCTTGTCTTTCTCTAACAGTACTTCAGGAATCTATTCCAGCACTTCATTTCCTTAAACCAAATCATTCTTTTTTACAGTGAAATGTCACTTGGCATTTGAGATCAAGACTCTTTTTTGTGTGTTTGACAGCATACAGTTTAATTACTAAAGAGTTGGTACTCATAAATGTTTTTAATCCCCCCTCCCGCTAAAAAAGGGATGTATTTAAATGACTTTTTCCAACAGAACATATTTTTCTTTCCTGATTTTCCTGAGAGTATAGATTTCCCCCCCTTTGTCTTATTCATATGCAGCTTTTACATCTGCTCGAGAGTTTTAAGGATCATCCTGAGGCAAATATAGTGACCGTATGTGGAGTGAACATAAGAGCACAGGAAAGTCCTGTTATGTAAATGGATGCTTACTCATATAATATTGAGTATAGTATGATTCCCAACTTTAGTTAGGTTGTTCAGTTAATATTGACATCTTAATCTTAAGAAGGAGGATGGCACGTATGCAGGAAGCAAGAATTCAAAGACAGAAGTCATATCCAAGAACTTCAGTGAAATGGAATTGAAGAAAACAAGTGTGGATGAAAAAGGTACACGTTGAATTCAGAAATGATCTGTTTGGAGACCATGGTCTGAGATTAGTTTTCATAAGGTTGTGTGGCTTACACCACCGGTGTAATTAAAGCTTTTCTGACGAGGCAGTCCTAGGAACGTTTATCAGAATTCAGTGAGACTTGCTACTGGGTAGGATTGCACTTTCAAACAATAAAGAAGATCAGTGTGTATACCATAGTGGAGATTTTTTCAACACCTTTACCTTAAGGTTCTAAATATAGTCTTTACTTACGAATAAAGGTGGATATACCTGTCACAGGATGATATTGCAGGATCCAGTTTGAGGCGGTCATTGGGACCAGACCCAGATTCTCCAACTTCTGCTAGAGAGAAGTTCCCTGAGGATGGGCTCCAACACGAGTCCAAAAGCTCGGAAGACTAAAATGTTGTTCCCAGTGACAGACCCAGACTGGATCCTGCAATAGTCTTTACTTTCTTAGATTTTCATGTTTGAAACTTTTTTTATTCTGGGGGCAGGGTTATAGAAGATGAAATCTGAATTGTGTGAGCCAAAGATTGTTCAACAGGAATTTCTTCTCTACTTCCTGAAGATATCTGTGCTTTTCCAATACATTCTTGAAAGTCTGAAATAGTACAGATAAGAACAACTTCTATTATCAGGCATTTCTCTGGTCTTTTAGAGTTGCCATCTATGATATTAGGGTTGGGTTAGGAATGTCCTGGATACCATCACAAATAGTCAGGCTGATATTTTTGGCTCCTTTTTGTGCTTTAGATTTTAAAGGCGGAAATAGGAGAGGGAGACAGTGCTATCGTTATTATGCCTAAAATTAGACCACAAAATTTGGCCATTTTGTTTCCAGTCAATGGCAAGATACTAGATCCTGGGAGTCCACAAATAGGATACTGGAACTACCTCTACCTTAGAAGCAGGTTGGTAGGAAATAAGGGCTATTATGAAAAAAAAAAATCACTGATCTTTCTGCAAAACCATTCTTTTTCAAGGGCTTAACCACATTTCAGCCATACAAAATACTATACCGATTGTTGGAGTCAATGAATATTTGAGGATTCTACCAATTTTTCCTAAAACATTTATTTAAAAGGTTTTCCCAAATACTGTATTTTTTTTTCCAGAGCCTCATAGACAAAAATGGGAAAAAGGAAGATGCAGTACGGTGATCAAAATTTTAGAAAATGCTTCTTTACTTTCTTCCAGTATTGCATCCAAGGAGGACACAGGTAAGATAATATGCATGTCTATTTGCATATTTTATATTATTTGCCATTAGAGACATTTTTAAAGATGGTACTCTTCCCCCACGCCTGCCCCAATAATCTCAATTTGTGTAAGAGACAATGAGAAGAACTAGTTGGATGTTGAATGAGAAACTGTCAGGGCTATATTCTTAGCACAGAGAGAGAATACAGATGAAATAATCGGTAGGTTTGTCCCATAGGAGACATCTTCAGCCAAACTCTACTGGAATTACCATTTTTGACTTGTATATTTTTTATGTCAGTGTGGAACATATGGAAAGAGAAATAGGTTCCACAAACTGTGGGTGAAGAATCCTAAATCTACAAAATATTTAAAAAGCTGGGACAAAAGGATATAATTTGAAAGGTGTGAGGGGAAACCAGAGGAAAAAAGAGTTTTATGTTTGATTAATTAGATAATTCTGCATTTAGGTTGTCCAGAATGTTTTACTAATTTATCTGGAAACAGTTTTTGCCCTGATCTGAGAGAATGATGCCAGACACCAGAATGGTGGGAATGGTATTAGAAACTGACTCCAGAAAACCATGTCAGTTTTATATTGATGCTGTCTTCCCAAATCTAGGTGGCTTTGTGATTTGCTTGCTTTAGTGTAGTTTGTTCCCAACTTCTCTGCTACTTTTGGTACCTTTTGGGGAGGACAGAAACCAAGATTAGAAGATGCTAATTCTCAAAGAATTCAGAAAGATTGGATTCATTCTAAACTGAGATTGATGGTTGTTATCCCTTTTTGATGATATATACTATGGACAGTAGGCAGGGCAGACACAGGTCATCTCTGTATGTAAAAATCTTGAACTGGGCTTCACTGATTGATGTGTTACAAACAAGACCTTAATGATTATTTAGATTGACTATCTCACCACAGGCCATAAATAGTCTCTTAGAGGTTCAGCACTAACCATTAAAAGGTGAGTCTGTTTGAATACTGTACATTATCCGAGAGCCCATTTAGAGCTTTTCAAACATTTGTGATTGAAACAAATAGTAAGAAAATATAGTTGCATATAGTAGTTGTACATTTATAATTGCAGTTTCAAGATCTGTGCCATAGAGCTGCATCATATGTTGATTTATTTCATTTTGGGGGGTTTTGATCACTTTTTGTTTTTCTATACAATCCTCAGATTTTCTATGCTCAAAAACCTTTTGTGAGACTCGCAGGAGTCTTCTCCAGCACCGTAGTTCAAAGGCCTCAATTCTATAAGTCTTCCTTATAGTCCAACTTTCACACTCATATATTGCAATTGGGAAAACCGTAGCCTTAGCTATACGCTCTTTTGTTGGCAGAGTGATGTCTCTGTTTTTAGTATGCTGTCTAAATTTGCCATAGCTTCCTCCCCAGGAGCAAGTGTCTTTTAATTTCTTGGCTGTAGTCCCCATCTGCAGTGATCTTGGAGCCCAGGAAAATAAAATCTGTCACTATCTCCATTTCTTCCACATCTATTTGCCAGGAATTGAGAGGGCCGGATGCCATGGTCTTAGTTTTCTTAATATTGTGTAAAGTGTGCTTTCTTTCAAAAGATAAAAATGCTACAAATATATACCTTGGCATGGGTTCATTAAACATACAGTAGCTAAATAAATTGAATGTTGAATTGAATGTTTGGCTTGCCCACCACCAAAATGAGAATTACTGGTTTAAAAAAAAGTGTTTCATTTTTTGTAGTCTTAAGTTTATTTATGGTATGTAGTGTTATAACATTCTTTTTGGAAGGTGTTTGGAAGGCAATAGTTTAAGGTGTTTATTTTAAGTTCTGTAGTTTGAGATAGGAAAAAGGATAATTGCTCCAGTAATACTATATTTCTCTTCTTTTAATTAGGTGGCTGTGTGAGAAAATATGATGAAAATGTCAAACGTAAACAGTGGAATAAGGAACCTTCACAGACTTTGATGAATATTCTTGACAATGCTGATGTTAGCTTAGCTTTTAAGACATACACAATCCACAAAGCAGGTGAATCTTTTCCCCCCATCGTAGCGAGAGGTTCACTTCACTGTTCTTAGAATGTGATCATGGATATGTGCTTTTAGCATGTGATGTTCATGGTTTGGAGATTGGGAAGGTCTGACAAAAATGAAATTAAAGTTTTTAAAAGTTTCAGTGAATCAGCATAGCTACTATGGATTCTGGCTTTGAATTCTCTGGATGGCACCTTCAGTTCTTGCTGATCCAGAATGAACTGGTCTACTTGCTGTCACTACCTTCTGAGGTTTCTAGGATAAGTTTGGTGCTAAGTCTCAGTGTGAACTAGAGTTAGCTGGTGGTTTTAGTAGATTTGCAGGCAATGGGGATTATAAATGCTCTGGATAGGAGATGTAAAGAGCAGGTGGGGGGAGGGTTTTACCTTAGCTATAAAGTGCTTGTTTGGTTGTTTCTTTTCATGTGCTCATTGATTTCTCCTCATGAAAATAGAGAATCAAACTGATGGTGGATGAGGAGATAGTTGGAATTGGCAGGTTGTACTTAAGTGCTATGTGAAAAAAATAAGGAGCAAGACATAGTTTTATTGACTTCCTGATTTTTAAAATATCTGAATAGAATATTTGCACTGATTTTTAAATATTAAAGTTTCAGATGACCTACTGAGAGGACCACTCACAGGAGAGAATGATGCATCTGATGAACCAGATGGTGAAACTTTTATGGAGGATGCAGAGAGACTTGAACCTAGATCAGATGAAGAGGACACGTATGTTGAAATACAGTGTGAAAAACTAATCATTTGAATTCTTTTCTATTTTTTAAACATGTCTCATAAAAAGTCCAATTGTAGCTTCATGCCATTTTTCAATTGTCGGCTGTATTTATCTACTTTCTCATCAGATTCCCCCAACTCTATCTGTCTCCCCCTTGCCCTCCAATTCTGCTTCAATCAGCAGAAGTCTTGTCCCTCCATGTGACATTCCTAATTCAGTTTAGGAGCAGGTATACTATAACGTGGAACCAATTCTGAAATAAGTTCTCAAATAAGCAGATGGGCAGAATTAAACACAGAACATAAATATTTCTTTCAGACATTCAAAGCTTTTCCCAGAGAAAAGAACCTTTATTTTACAAGCACATATTATATATGCTTTTTGACTGTAATGGACAACAGAATAGATTGTACAGAAGAATTATAGAATTTATAGAATAATTTTAATGGTAAAAATACCCCCTGGGAGTCCTGAGGGTTTCTAATCAGAAAATATACGTATTCAGTAGTTACAGATTTCTTTAAATGATAATCCCTCTTTTCTCCTCTTAATTGTTCTTTATATTTTTTATAGGGATTTTGAAGCAGAAGATGATCCAGACTGGATTTCTGAATTGCAAAAGATGGAACTGAAGAAAGAACTACCAATACATAATCCAGTATCAGTGCAAAAATATTGCTGAACCATTTCAGAAACTAGCAGCAACAAGCTAATTGATACATAATAATTTCACACATATTTCTTTGAGGAAGAAAATTTAATTTGGGATATTTTTTGATAGGTATAGCAATTACATTCTTCTTAAAGATACTAAAATAAACACTTTTACCCAGAATTTTTTATTCCATATAGAAATATTCTGTCAAAATCGGAAATACGTCAAAATCAGAAATACACTGTATTAGAGGACCGACTAGGATTAGCACAGTCTGAGATATAGAGAGCAAGATATGACTTTCATGTTGTTCAGTGGTGCAATTCAAAAATTCCCAAGCCATGCCCATGGTTCTGTGGGCATGGCTTGATGGGCGTGGCAGGGGAAGGATACTGTAAAATCTCCAGTCAGAGGTGGTATTTGCCAGTTCTCCAAACTAATCAAAATTTCCACTACTGGTTCTCCAGAACTGGTCAGAACCTGCTGAATACCACCTCTGATGTTGTTCCTCTCTGTCTTTTCATATTCCTGGGCCTTTGGGAGTGCCGGAGGGAAGATTGAGACTGGATTTCAGAATATGGCAAAATCTAGATAAAAATTAGCATTAATTATATCTCATCTTTTTATTTATGTGTTTTGCAATTGTTAATAAACTTGCTCATTTCAAATCTTCCTAATTTCCAAAATGATATGTCTTTCCTCAGTGTGATTTCAGGAGCTGTGACTTTCATCTATTTCTGCTTCTTGTGGTTCAGTTATATAATTTATATTCATTGAATGCAGTTAGGGAGCTGGTGCTATTTATCCCAGTCCCAGACAGGAAACCTAAGGAGGACTTAAACAGTTGGTTCTCAACAGGATAGATGTTGGCAGCATAATCACCAAGCAAACAACCCTGCCATTACAGTGGTGTCCTATCAGGATTTTTGCAAAGGAATCTAGTTATCCCTCCACAGTCTGCCTATTTGTTTATTTCAAACATTTATATAGCTTCTCATCTTATATTAAACAGCTTACAGTTAATAAATAAACAAATAAAGTATTATTAAATAAATACAATTAGTATGTAATTTTATTTATGAGCATGTAGTTTTACTTATATATTTAATAATACATTATTTAATTTACTATAGTTATCTTAAAATATCCACAATTAGTGCTGATCATCAAATTTATATGTTAAATTTAATCTAGTAAAAACCACACTTTCAGACTCTTAATGTATTTTCCTTAAACAGGATCTTAGTAGATGTGTTAAATTTCTTTCCATCTTAGGCAGCCTAGTTGATCAATCTGGGTATGAATTATGGAAGAGAATTGGAATAGATATGTTAACTTTAGAAACAATCTATATAAGCCATGTCAAAATTACATATTCCTACTGTTAGGCAATAGAAAGTGGCTAAATTTGTTTAATGTACATAAAAAAATGCATCATGTAATTGTACATATGTTATCATTTGTCCCCTCCCATAGATGATCATGCTTAGACATTGTCCCTTGATATAAAAACTTGTGGTGTAAGTCTGAAAATGTTATAACAATACTTTCAAATCATTACTTTACACAATTGGTAAACTGCTATATGTGTTTTAATATATTTTAGTGATGGTTATGGAGAGGGATTGTTTTTGTTAAGATACTACCTAATAGAAAAAAATCTCAGTGAGGCTCAAGCATGCAACGCATAAAAGATTCAATATAAATGATTTTATGGTGACCCCAAAACCTAAACCTCTGTTATCTTGCATATGAAAGTTCATGTTTATTGAGATTTTTTACTGAAGTGTACTGGTTGTTATCTGCTAAAAAGATGTCAGTGAAAAGGACACAAAGCTAAAAATCTCTTTTTGGGGGGATACTTTCAAGTACCAAAGTATGTGTTTAACAAAAAATACATAATTTTTCATACAGAATGTTATACTTTAGGGATTATATTCATTTTATATTAATTGAAAATGCTACACTAGTAAAAACTCCAATAAATGTTACAGCTTTTGAAAAATGTTTTTCTGCCAGAGGCTCCCCCCCAAGATACCTAATGAGAAAAAGAAATATATTCTGATGAAATTTTTAAAGTGTCTCCCAGCTTTGGTGACTTCCAGATGTGAAGGTGCTTGGCAAGCAGAGCATTGTCTAGAATTCTTCCAGCTGAAATAAGACTTTCAATTATCTGGGAATAAATCCATATTAAACCAGTCAAACTTTTAGTAGATATTCACAGCGTAGCTTGGCTAAAGCAACATTCTGCCCTGTGTGTTTTAGGATTCTTGTTCTGTGTGGTTATTACGAAAGTATGAAGGAATTGGAAAGTTGGGGGGGGGTGTCAACGCGAGGAGGTGATGTGCAAACTCTACAAAGTTGTCCTTCTGCCTGACACCTATTAGTTCTTTTCGACTACTGTGCATAATAGAACCATGCTGAAGAGGGATGATGGGAGCTGTAGTTTTAACACTCTGAAAGGCGTCAGATTGCGGGAGCCTGCAGAAACCGATCCGTAACCCGGGCAATAGGGCGGGGTGTAAAGAAAACACGCCTCCGCGGGCGCTGAAGAAGCTGCCGCTTCCACCGTCTGTGCAACTTAAGGTAGTTTAGGCGGTATAATAAGTTGATATTTTCGGTTCTGGAGGACTATTCCTTTCCCGCCCCCCCTTTTCAAGGGCGCAGCAAAAGCGTCCCGCCAGCGGGTTAATGGCGGAGAGAATAGAGCTGCGGAGCTCGGGCAGGCAAGGGAATCTCCGCGCGCGCGTCGGTTCTGTTTCCTTGGCAACGGAGAAGCGGAAGTGCTGAAAAAGGCGGGGAAGTTCTCCGCCTCCTTGCAGAGGGAAAGGGATCCTGTAAGCTTCACTCTTAATGAGGTTGTCAGCTCAAAACTGACATAGGTTTGCTCAGAAGTAAAGCTCAGTAGATAACTGGGGCTTACTCCTGAGTAAAGCGTGTGGAAAGTTGTGTAGCCTGCATCCCTTTTAAGGCGCGTCAGAGTAAGCAAATTGCTTAGTATTTATCAGTCTATTACCGAACTGCCACTCGCCTCGAATTCACATCTGCATGATTGCGTAGGATCCTCACTTCTAGAGAAAAGAGAGCAAGGGATCCGCTTTCTAGAGATACTCTGAGTCCGCTTGGAAAGGAATTAGGAACAATTTAAATAACCAGTCCAAGGTTATATACAGTATATTTGCATGTAGTTTTTCTTCTGCCATGGAACTTGCATGCAGATCCTAAGCTGTCTTCCATCTGGATCCAGCCACAAACCAAGGATCTGTTAAATAAGCCAGACAGCTGCCTTTTCCAACCTGGTGCCATCAGATGAGTTAGAATGTAGCTTCCATTTCCCCAGAAGCTAACAGATAACATAGTCAGAGTTGGAAGGGACCTTGTAGGTCATCTAGTCCAATCCCCTGCCCAAGCAGGAGACCCTACACCATTTCTGACAGATGGCAGTCCAATCTCTTCTTGAAAGTCTCAAGTGATGGCGCTCCCATAAGAAAGTTTCTCCTTATTTCCAGGTTAAAGAAGAGAAAATGATAGAAGAACATCTCTAGGATACAAGATTGGGAAAGGCTGTAGCCATAGGCTACAAACAGGGTGATTGATTTTCACGTATAACACATTTTCATCCTCGAAGTTCAAAAATTCTGTTATTTCATGCATGGACATTTCATAATAATTCATCTGAAATGATTATAATTTCCTGTTTTGTGACTGCTTCATTTAAAAGGATAGGGATACTGCTCTTTCAGTTGTGAGTATCTGACCAAGAAAAATAGATATTAAATTTTTTAAAAGAAAAAAAATATACAATGGAAAATTAAAGGTTACACTTTGAAGTAAAGTTTCATATTTAAATATTAAGTACTACATTCTTTTTGTTTTTGATGTTTCTCCAAAACTCAGGATTATGGATAATTATGTAATAATTAAAATGATTGGAGAAGGAGCATTTGGCAAAATATTCTTAGCCAGAAAAAAAGAGGATAATCAACAATGTGTTATCAAGGAGATCAATTTAACTAAGGTAATATCTTTTATAATAGTTTTATGTAGCAAGTTAATGTTTGGTCCAAGGTGAAGATGGCAATTAGATAGAAAGATCTGCCTAATGGCAGCAACAGTACCATTAGCAATATTTTAGACAGCTTAGAATTTGTTTGAATATTTGACATAGGATTAAGGTTAAGTTCTGAAGAAGCATTTTTAATAGCTTTGCAGGAATGAAAGTAAGTTTGTCTTATCTGTGAGTGCTAGTGATAATAAATTCAATGTGTTATTTAGTCCAAATGCTATTGCTGTTTCTGAGGTTCCATGACAATTTAAAGTTCTAAAAATATTATGTGTAGCCCTTTAAGGAAGTAGTCCATTTCTTAAAGGATGTTGAAAGAAAGTGATGAAATGTGTTATAGTAACTTTTTAGTAACTTTTAATTGTGAAATGATGTTAATATAACAAAAAAATTGCTTCACATTAATTCCCAAGTTCACATTAAAACAAGAACTTTTATTGGAAATGTTTGTTCAGAGGTCCTCAATTTAAGGAAAATTACACTAAGCTGCATTCAGAATTGTTTAAATATTTTTGTGGTATTCCTATAAAGTCACATAAACAATAACTTGTGTTGCACTCTTTTTAAATAAATAAAGATGCCAGGGAAGGAAAAAGAATCATCTCAAAAAGAAGCAACTCTTCTAGCCAAGATGAAGCATCCTAATATTGTAGCTTTCTACACTTCCCTTCAAGGTATCATTCTGATCTATAGCTACAGGTAGTCCTCGACTTACAACAGTTCATTTAGTGACCATTCTAAGTTACAAGGGCACTAAAAATGTCTCATGACCGTTTTTCCCATGATCATGTGATCAAAATTCAAACTCTTAGCAACTGTCATATTTATGACAGTTGCAATTTATGATGGGTCACCTTTTGTGACCTTCCGACAAGCAAAGTCAATGGGGAAGCCACATTCATTTAACAACCATGTTCCTAACTTAACAACTGCCATGATTCTCTTAACAAATGTGGCAAGAAAGGTTGTAAAATTCACAACAAATATCTCTCTTAGCAACAGAAGTTTTGGGCTCAGTTGTCATAAGTCGAGGACCTGTATTTTGGCTAACTCTTAGAATAGAGCAACAATAAATAGCTGCTTCTAAAATTTCGTCTTTTGAAAGGCACGCAAGTACTTTCTGCCCAAAACTTTAAAAACCAGGTTTTGGAGATTGTTTCTTTGAGTTTATATATGTATGTATGTATTTCCTTTTATTTTCCTGTGGGGACTAATGTGATATTCATGATCATTGTTAAGATTGCTTGGTTGGCTTTCACTTCACTTTGGTAGTTTTTAACTATTATTTTTATAACCTATAAGCCAATAAAGAGTGATATGAGTTCAGTGGGGTAGAGTAATAATACTTTATTTTGCTTCTAGTTACCTAATGCCATGTATGTTTACATGAAGAGTGTTGAGGAGATGAGTATGGTATCTACCTGCAAAAGGAAACATTAAAGAGCCCCTTATTACATTAAATACAGAATATTAGCAGATGTCACTTATAACTTTGGGGTAGAGGCATTTAGCCATTTTAGCCTGAGGTCAAGAAGCAGATAACTTTAGAGATCACAGGGCAGTCCCATTGACTAAGTAACGGTCCACACTCCTCTCCGGATCTCTCTCTTGATGAGACTTAAGGACCTGGGTTTCTTTTAGATCAATATTTTTACACCTTGGGGAAATACTAAACAGCTATGGCTCTGAAAATGTATGTGTGCGAGTATGTATATTGCAGAATCAAAGTTGCATGCCTCAAATGCAAAATATGCTGTTAATATTAGCAGCAGGCTTTGTCTTCATATCCTCCATGTGAGCTTTTCAGTTGCATCATCAGCCAGAGTAGGAAATAAAATACTAGACAAGGTGGACTTTTGATCAAATCTAGCAGGATTCTCCCTTTGTTTTATATTGTATTCTTTAAGTGACTCAAGACCTAAGTTATTATGTTTTTAGAGAAAAATAACTTGTATATTATGATGGAATAT